CTGCATTACTTGAGGGTGGGGGGGTATAAGAGCTAGTTTAAAGATCAGATTCTTGGGCACCAACCCAAACTTCCTAAACCTTATTCTCTGGGTGATAGCAGCTGGGATTCTTCATAAAACATATACTTCAGGTGATTCTAATGAAGATGGTCTACAGACCACATTTTGATTAACATGATTAAAAGCCAAGAAACATGAATTCAGTCAACATCTTGCTCCACTTGCCTGAGTAAAAGATCTTTATTAATATCTGTCTTTTCTCTCCTCTATGAGAAAGCCATACTTTTGGAGGGTACTCCTTCCACTTGAATCCCCTGTCATCCTCTCTGCTTTTATCAATTATCTTTTTGTTTTCTAGCTTCAATGTCTTTCTTTCCTTTGGGTCAATCTTCTCGGCATAGTAATAAACTCAATTGTCTTCCATATTGAAAATCAAGACAAAACTCTTGTCATGGTTCCTTTCCTGTTCTAGCCACTACCTTATCCTTTTTTTTTTCTTTTCATGACCAAAATCCTCCTTTCTACACTCAATGTCTCACCTTCTTCACCCCCAATCATTTCCCAACTGTTGCACCTGGAGTCTGTTCCCACCATTCCAGCAAAATAATTTCTTGTGCAAGTTACCAATAATTCCTTAATGCCAATTTCATTAGATACTTTTCAGTTATTTTGTCTTTCTGTTGTATTTGATGCTTTTGGCCTCTTCCATCTTAAAACTATAGCTGATCCTTGAACAATGCAGGGATTAGGGGAACCTACCTATCAGTTGAAAATTTATATGACTTGACTCCACAAAAACTTAACTACTAATGGCCTACTGTTGATCAGAAGTCTTACCGATAACCTAGTCAATTAACACATATTTTGGGGACACCTGGGTTTCTCAGTTGGCTGAGTGTCCTGGGATCGAGTACCATACCGGGCTCCTTGCTCAGCTGGGAGACTGCTTCTCCCTTGCCTGCTTTGCCTACCACTGCCCCTGCTTGCGCTCTCTCTTTGACAAATAAATTAATAAAATCTTAGAAAATTAACACATATTTTGTATGTTCTGTATGTATTGTGTTCTTACACTGAAGTAAGGTGAAGCATAAAAAGTGTTATCAAGGGATGCCCGGGTAACTCAGTTGTTTATGGGTCTGCCTTCAGCTCAGGTCATGATATCAGCCTCCTGGGATGGTCTGCATCAGGCTCCCTGCTCAGCAGGAAGTCTGCTTCTCTCTCTGCCTGCTGTTCCCCCTGCTTGTGCTCACTCTCTGTCTGTCTCTCTCAATCTAACAAATAAACAAAATCTTTAAAAAAAAAGTGTTATCAAGAAAATTTAAAGAAAAGAAAATACTTTTATAGTACTGTACTGTATTTACCCCCCCAAAATCTGTGTAGAAATGGATCTGTGCCATTCAGACCTGGTGTTTCAGAGTCAACTGTATTTGATTTTCCCAACTCTATATTACCACTTTGTGTTCTCTTCCTATCTCTCTAGTAGTTTCTTCTCAGACTTTGCTCTCCTCTTCCTCTTTTGGAATGTGCCTATTATTCAGGGTTCCATCCTTGGCCCATTTATCTTTTATACTGAGTTGTGACTTTCTCTAACACCTATGTGCTTGTTGTCACCAACCTACACCTCCCTCTTCCCTAAGTCCCAGCCCTGTGTCTACAACTGCTACTTGAACATCCTTAACTGGATATTTTTAGGCAACTGAAACTCAGTATGTTAAGAATTGAACTGATGACCTTTCCCTAAAGACCTGCATGTTTCTACTTCTGTATTTCCTTGATCAGCTCAGCTGCCCAAATGAAAATGAGGGATTTATCTTCCTCTTTCCTTCTATCTCTCCTTCCTACACCCAGTCACCAGGTCCTATCGATATGATCTCCAGGTACCTTTTGCATCTGTCCTTTCCTATCTCCACGCCACTATCTGCATCCCATCATTCATCATCTGAAATACTGTTGTTAGTTTCTTATTGATTTCCTTTTCTCTACCAGGTCCTCCAGGTCCTTTCTTGTGTTTTGGTTCCTAAGGAGAATGGGTGAAAAGATGTAGAACTGTATCAGTGTAACTCAAGGATACAGCCATTTGTGTAAAGGACGGTGTAGTTGAAGGAGAACTCCAATTTATTCTCTGGAGGGCTCAGAGTCAGGAGACATCAGGTTTGTCTTTCAGACTGTCAACTTTGAATGTGGAAGTTGCTGAAAAGATTTACACATTTCAGCTATTAAATTAAGAGCAGTAGCTAAGATTTGAGAAAAACATACTAGAGATCATTGTTTTCCTTTCCTCTCCTTTTCTTTCCCTTTTTTTCTTGAATTTTATTTATGTATTTACTTGAGAGAGAGAGAGAGGGAGAAGCATGCTCTCTGCTCAGCCAAGCCATGGGCTTGATTCAGGACCCTGGGATTGTGAGCTGAGCTGAAGGCAGATACTTAACTGACCCACCCACATGCCCATTTCTTTCTTTTTTAAAATTGTTTTTTCTTAACTATCATATGATCTCCCTGATATGAGGAAGTGGAGATGCAACATGGGAGGTTTGGGGGGTAGGAAAAGAATAAATGAAACAAGATGGGATCGGGAGGGAGACAAACCATAAGAGACTCGTAATTTCACAAAACAAACTGAGGGTTGGGGGGGATAGGGAGAGGGTAGTGGGGTTATAGACAATGGGGAGGGTATGTGTTATGGTGCGTGCTGTGAAGTCTGTAAACCTGGTGATTCACAGACCTGTACCCCTGGGGCTAATAATACATTATATGTTTATAAAAAAATAAAAAAAATTATAAAAAAAAGAAAAAAATTGTTTTTTCTTAAGTGGCAGAAGAGCATAGGGAGTCAAAAGTAACAGTAGGAAGATAAGGGAGATCATATAGAAAAATCATTTTGTAGTTAATAAAGGTTGTCCAAAAACATAATAGGCAAGATTAGTGGTAGGGTAAAGGATGCTGAAGAACCAGAAAATTAATCTTGTTCTGTTGTAATGGGCATAAGCTATCCATTTCTGTAGTCTGCGGCTTCAGGATAATTCCTAAGAATCTTTGGTTTGAGATCTTCCAGTGAATTAGACATTCAGTGTCCCAGAAAAAAATGATGCATTCATTTTTAGTTGAGTAACATGAATCCAAGGACCAATGCCTTTGGAGTTTCACTGTTGGTTTGTTGTTAACAGTGCCTGGTTAGGATTTTCCATTGAGGATCAAGGGAAATTTTTTTCTGATTCTTTTTCAGAAGATCAAATCTCTAGATTTCAGATCATGCAGAAGCTGCTTAGATGGGTGCTTTGTAAATATTTTGTTGCTTTATTGTTGATAAAACAAGAGTTACAGCGTGGGTCCTCTGCAGTAATTAGTCATATCAGTTTGTATTAAGGTAGGATCTAGTACTGCAAATACACAAGGAAGCCTGTTATTAACTCAGAGAGATAACTTGTGAGTCTTACGATAGATTGATGTCATCATTTTCAAGACAAATGGAACTACTTTGGGCCTTGGGAATTTGAGAGTTTCTGAGAATTTTGCTAATGAGTTTTAGAATTCCATTAGTTCCCTTTAATTTTCCTGAAATTTGTGAATGATAAGGATAGTGGAGTTTCTAAGTAAATGGTAAAGGTTTACAGAATTATTTAATAACAGTGTCACTGAAATGTGTGTACCTGTTACTGGAGAAGTGCATTGGGATTTCTCAAGTCAGGAACACAAAATCAAGAAATTTTTTTCTATCATTATATCCATAGCTCTCCAGCAAGGAAAAGCCTCAACTGTCATAAGAAGAGTTATATTTGAATGTACTCATAGTCCATTTAGAGGTTTTCTTAGGAGCCCTGAGGCTTTGGGCTCCAGTCTGTATTCTATGTTTATAGTTTTGCCAGAATTACATCATTGGCAGATAGGACATACATCCTTGGCAACAACCCTAAAAATTACCCCAGCGGTGCTGGTTCGATATCATTGCCAATTTATCTTTGCTATTATGGATAGATACCATGAAGAATTTCACTGGCCTCTAATTATGGCTATCTCCTTAGGTAATAGCAAAGCATCTCAAGATTCTTTAATTTGCTGTTTATTTTACAGGAGTTCCTGAAATAGTCAGGAAATCTGTTTCTAAAGACTTTCAAAGTCATTGACTAACCTAAAATGTATATGTACCATCAGTACAGATACTTGTCCTTTTTCCTTTATTAGCTGATAGCTCTGGGCCAGGGCAATTAACTGGACCTACAAAAGACTTGGGATGGAGTAATTCAGAGACTTTGGGCGAGTTATTTTTCTGAGCATTATATTTCTTCAAATGCGAAATGGTAATAATACTCATCTCAGAGAACTGTGAGCATTTAATGAGTTTATCAATGAATAATACCTACCACCAAGTCCTTCACGTTGGTCATCATTTAATAGAGGCTCGGTCACGCAGTTTTAAGGGCAATGTCAGGCTTGAAACTTCTATTTTTTTCTGATACACGCGTCCGGTTCTTAACCCCTCTACTGTCCCAGACATCTTTCACTGCTAGGTTCAAGAGCCCATCATAAGGCCTGTCGCCCAGCAGGCACTCAATCTTTAAAAATTTAGTTTGCAAGTTTGATCATCATGGGTTTGTACTAGGGTCTGATCTCCTCTCGGTGCATGGACAAAATTCAGTCTTGGCTTGGCGCAGTCGAGGACTAAATTCTCCCCTCCCTCGAGAGGAGCCCAGTCGGGGTTTATTGTGAGCTTTCAGTGCAGTGAGCAAGATCCCAGCGGGTGGCAAGGACGACGCCCCTCCCCCGCCGGCCCCCCCCCCCCACACCTCTGCTCCCTCCCCCGCCCTCTCCCGCGGGGCGTCCTTAGCAACGCGCGCTTTCTCTCCCTGCCCCGCCCAGTCCGCGCGGCCCCGGGCGGGGCGCGAGGCCTTGGTGGTCTTTGCGCCTGCGCGCAGCCGCAACCGCCAGTCAGCTCTCCTCCCCTCTCCTCCCTCCCCTTTCCCCTCTCCCCCTTCCTCCTCTGCCTCCTAGAGCGAGACACCAATATGGAGCCTGAAGACCTACCATGGCCGGGAGAGCTCGAGGAGGAGGAGGAGGAGGAGGAGAAGGAGACGGAAGAGGCGGAGGAGGGGGGAAACCTGGACTCGGACGAGGTGGTGATGGTGGAGGAGGTGGAGGAAGAAGAGAGGAGGTACCTGGACTTGGACTTTAGTAACTACGAGAGCCAGCCTCTGGAGAGTACGGACGACGAGGAAGACGAGGAGGCCAAGGCCTGGCTGCAGGCGCATCCCGAAGGGCCTTTGCCTCCGTCGTCGGTCCCGAGGCACCGCTACTCGGAGGACCAGCGGAGCGGCCCGGAGAAGGTAAGCCGGGTCGGGGAGAGATGGGGATTGTGGTCGGGCCGGGTGACTCGGTGTCTCTGCGCGCTCAGCCTGCTCTCTGCCTTGCTGCCTCCTGCTGGCTGCGGGTCACCGTGCCGGGCAAATAACAGGCGGGCTTGTAAAGTCCTGTAGGGGCCGTATCGCGTCCTGGGTTAATAAAGTCCTGGGTTAATAAACTCCACTTCTGCGCAGGCTCTGGCTGACTACCTCAAGTCTCCCATTGTTTATGTCAAAGACCTCTCTAGTTTCACCCTCTCTGTGGGTCCCGGGCCTTTTGAATTACACCAGCTGTTTCGAGCGTCTCTATTCCCAGTGGGTGTGGTTAAGCAACGCTTTGGGGAGGAGTTGGGGCTCCTCGTGCCCTGCTGGAGGGGAAGCGTTTGTATGCGGGGAGAGAGTAGTTCTTGTGGGGCTGTCTTGTTGGGAAGACGGGAGATTAGCGTGCCTGAAGGGCAGGACTCTCCTGGAGGGAGTAGTGTGGATTCTGGACACTACATGATTAGTCTCCAGAGGCTCCTCACCTGTTTGACTTCTCCGGAACCTTGTTTGTAGCAATGAAGGGGAGTGCCCCGTAGGTAGGAGGTTTATGCTGCAGCTCCAGTTTGGAAAACTAGAAAGCACCAGGTAGTACACAATGGAGAAAGAGCTGGTTTTATGGTGGGCTCCTGAAGACAATTTTGAAAAGAACTACATTTAATTCATTAGCTTTTCAGGGAGGAAACAAAAGTTTTGCTATTCAGTTTGAATATCAAATCATCAGACACTTATTAAGTTTCTGTTGTGTGCAGGTCACGTTGTGGGGACCAAAAAGCCTAGTGTTTATTGTCTAGGACTGCTCCATAGATAAGATGTAAACTGTGAAGAGTGAACAAAATGCAACAAAGTACAAGTGAAAAGACAGTGAAAGACTTTTAATAGACCTGTGCTGTTCAACACAGTCATCACTATCCACACGTGGCTCTTGACATCGTATTTCGTTAAGATTAAATAAAATTTAAAAATTCAGTGCCTTTGTTATACTAGCCACGTTTTAAGTGTCCAGTAGCCACACTTGACCAGTGGCATTATTGGACAGTGCAAATATAGAATAGTTCCATCATCACAGGAAGTTCTTTTGGACCTTAATCCTATAGACGGTTGATCATTAAAGAGTAATAGTTATTGTTTTTCTTGGTAAGTATTCCACTGGGTACTTAATTCATTGAGCATTCACCATGGGCATTCACAGTGTCCTGCTGGGTGCAAAGGAATCTTGGTGAACCGAAACATTTTTTTAAAATCTCTGCCCTTCTAGTGTTCAGGTAAGAAAAAGCAGACAAAATTTAGTTGGCCACATAAATAAGTAAAACTGGTATGTGCTAATAATATACTTTGAAAGCATACCGTAAGGGGATCTGACTTTGTTAGTGAAGCTGGGGAAAGCTTCCCTGAGGAAGTTCTGGTAGAGCTAAGATCTGAAGACAAAAATTAACTAGACACAGAGAAGAGTTTCCCTCCCAGTTGAGGGAAAGTCACATGTAGAGGTGCTGTTGGAGAGAACATGGCATTTCCAGGGAACCAAAGGCTAATACGGATAAAGGCTTTATCTGTGGAGCTGTGGAATTGTTTAAATGGAATTGTTAAATTTGGAAAATGTTTAAAACATTTTCAGTGGTAAGATTTGTGTTTCAGAGGGGCACCTGGGTGGCTCATTCATTAAGTGTCTGCCTCAGGTCATTATCCCAGGGTCATGGGATCAAGCCCCACATTAGGCTCCCTGCTCAGCGGAAAGCCTGCTTCTCCCTCTCCCACTCCCCCTGCTTGTATTCCCTCTCTCACTGTTTCTCTCTCTGTGTCAAATAAATAAGTAAAATCTTAAAAAAAAAAGATTTGTGTTTCAGAAAGATGACTTTGTAGCAGAGTAGAGGACAGCTTTGACAGCAGGATGGAGTCAGAACTGGTAGTAAGTCAAGGATGCTAATTATTAAGCCATTGCCACATTGCCAGGCAAAAGATGATAATATTTTGGAACAGTAAAGTGTTAGTGGATATAGAAAAAAGTAGACTGATTGAAGACATATTTAGGAGGTACGGGTGCCTGGGTGGCTCAGTCACTTAAGCGTCTGCCTTTGGCCCAGGTCATGATCTCTAGGTCCTGGGATTGAGCCCCGTGTGTGTGTTTGGGGTGGTGGGGGGGAATCCTTGCTGAGCAGGGAGTCTGCTTCTCTCTTTCTTCCCACCTCTGCCCCTCCTCCCTGCTCATTCTCGTTCTTCCTTTAAAAAAAAAAAAAAAGAAAAATATTTTTTTCTATAAACATTTTTTATAACGTTTCTATAAACATTTTTTATAACATTTCTATAAACATTTTATAACATTTCTATAAACATTTTTACTGTACTGATAATGGATTAGGTAGAGTCTGGGTGTTAGATTATTGGATGAATGATTGTGTCAAGCATCGAGATACGGCCAGGTTCATGGTGGGAACAGTGGAGGGAGGGGTTGATGGGTTTGGTTGAGATGAGCGTTAAGATTCTAAGATTGGTTTTGGAGATCAGAGCAGAAGTCTGAATTGGAAATACCAAGTTGTAAGTTATCTGCATATAGACCATATAATATATGGGATCTGCATATAATATATGGGACTCCATCTCAGGACTGTGGGATCATGACCTCAGCGGAAGGCAGACACTTAACCAACTGAGCCACCCAGGCATCCCTGCTTTTTTTTTTTTTTTTTTTTAAGATTTTATTTATTTATTTGAGAGACAGAGGGAGAGCACGCCAGCGGGGTGGAGGGAGGAGCAGAAGGAGAGGGAGAAGCAGACTCCCCACTGAGCAGAGAGCCAGTTGCGGGACCCCATCCCAGGACCCCAAGATCATGACCTGAGCCGAAGGCAGATGCTCAACCAACTGAGGGACCCAGGTGCTGCATAATTATCTGACTTTTTGATTGTAGCCATCCTGGTGGATGTGACATGGTATCTCATTGTGGTTTTGCTGTGCATTTCTCTGATGGCTTATGATATTGACCATCTTTTCTTGTGCTTATTGGCTATTTGTATATCTTCTTTGGTGAAACGTCTATTCAGGTCCTTTACTCATCTTTATTTCAGTCATTTGTCTATTTGCTGTTGAGTTACAAGAATTCTTTATAAAGTCTTCATATTTTCCACAGTGTAAATTAAAAATTCCCACATAAGGTGTCTGATTTGCAATATTTTCTCCCAGTCTGTAGGTTGTCTTTCACATACTTGATAGTGTTCTTTGAAGCCCAGAAGTTTTTATTTTTGATGAAGTCTGATTTATCTTTTTGTTGTTGTTGTTGCTTATCCTATCTTAGAAACTGTTGCTGAATGAGAAGTCATATTTATCTCTATGTTTTCTCTTACGAGTTTTATAGCTTTTGCTCTTACATTTTAGATCTTTAATTACTTTTGAGTTATTTTTGTACATTGCTATTTTTTTTTGTATGTTGTATGTATGTATGTACGCTACTTTTTTTGTATGTTGCTACTCAGTTGTCTCAGCACCAATTGTTGAAGAGTCTGTTTTTTCCAGTTGAATGGTCTTAGCACTCTTGTTGAAGGTCAGTTGACCATTGATGTATAGGTTTATTTCTGGACTCTCAATTCTATTCCATTATCCATCTGTCCAGCTTTATGTCATGGTACACTTTTTTGATTACCATTGCTTTGTGTAGTAAGTTTTGAAATGAGGATGCGTGAGTCCTCCAGCTATGTTCTTCTTTCTCAAAATTTTTTGGCTATTCTAGTTGCCTTGCTGTTCTCTATGAATCTTAGGATCAGTTTGACAATTTCAACAAAGAAGCCAGCTGATAATTTGATAGGAATTACATTGACTCTATAGATCAGTTTGGGAGTATTGCCATCTTGGCAACACTGGGTTTTCTGATCCATGAACATAGGATATATTTCCATTTATTTAGATCTTTCCAGACACATTCATTACTGTTTTGTACTTTACAAGGTATAAGTTTGACACTTATTTTCCCTTAAATTATTCTAAGTTTTTTATTCTTTTTGGTGCTATTGTAAGTAGAATTTATTTTTTAATTTCATTTTTGGATTGTTCATTGCAAGTGTATAAAAGGACAATTGGTTTTTGTACATTCATTTTGTCTCTTGCAATTTTCCTGAACTCGTTTATTAGTCCTAATAGATTGTTAGTGGAGTTTGTAGAATTTTCTGTATATAAGACCATGTCAAATGTGAATACATATAGTTTGATTCTTCTTTTCCAATTTGAGTGCTTTTTATTTTTTTCTTGTCTAATTTCCTTGGATAGAATTTCAAGCATAATGTTGAATAGATTTAGTAAAAATGGATATCCTTATCTTATTCCTGACCTTAGGGGGAAAGCATCCAATTTTTTCACTGAAAGTAGGATGTTAGTTGTTGGTTTTTCATAGCTTACCTTATCAGATTGATGAAATTTCTACCTATTCCTAGTTGATGGAGTATTGTTTATCATGAAAAGGTGTTAGATTTTGTCGAATTATTTTATTATTTGGTGTATTAATATTAGATTGTTAAGCCAAGCATGCATTCTGGGGATGCATTCTTTACTTCATCATGGTACATAAATGTATGTTATAGGGTACAGGAATATGTACACACACACGCACACACACACACAATTTACTAGTATTTCTTAAAAGAATTTTTGCATCTGTAGTCCCAAGGTAATAGTCTGTAGTTCTTTGTGATGTTTTGGTCTGGCTTAGTATCCAGGTAATACTGGCTTCATAAAATGAGTTAAAAGTGTCCTTTCTGTTTGTTAAGGATTGGCACTAATAATTTTTGACTGTTAGCTAGATTACACCATTTAGGTCTGGGCTTTTCTTTTGGGGAAGTATTTTAATTACTAATTGACTCTCTTTCCTTGCTATATGTCTCTTCAGATTTTCTATTTCTTCTTGGATCAATTTCAGTAATTTGTGTTTTCTAGGTGTTTGTCCATTTCTTCCAAGTTATCTAAT